TCTTCTGGCAGGTGAGTTGTTGATGGTGACTGGGTAGGGCAATGGCAGCAGCTCTGGCCTGCCTCCATTGTGTCCCCTTGTTCTCTGACTGGTAATAGCCATCCTAGCTGGAGTGAGGTGATGTCTCCTTGTGGCTTTGACTTGGCATTTCTCCAATAATAGTGATGTTAAGCATATTTTCATGTACCTGTTGGCTACTCATGTCTTTCTTTGAAAAAATGTCTGTTCAGACGTGTTGCCCATTTTTAGAGTGGGTTATTTGTTCCTGTGCTGTTGACATTCTTACATATTGTGGTTATTAATGCTTCATCAGATGATAAAGTTTGCAGATATTTCCTCTCCTTCAATATGCTAATTGTTTCTTATGCTGTGTAGACGCTTTTTAGTTTGACAAAATCCAATGTCTATTTTTGTTTTCGTTGTGCTTTTGGGGTCCTACCCATACAATCCCTGTCCATTACCATGTCCCAGAGTATTTTCCCTATGTTTTCTTCCAGTAGATTCATAGTTTCAGATCTTAGACTTAGGTCATTAGTCAGTTTTGTGCTGCTTTTTGTATATAGTGAAAGATAGGGGTCTAGGTTCATTCTTCTGCATGTGGCTATCCAGTTTTCTAGCACCAGATATTGAAAAACTATTCTTTCTACAATGCATGTTCTTAGCAATTTGTGCAAGATTAGATGGCTGTGGATATATGTAGGGTAATGCATAGGTATAATTTTAGTCTCTTCATTCAGTGAGTTTTCTACCTTCTGATATTTTCTTTGTACTTATCAGCATCTCTTCTCACAGTTTGAAGAACTTCCTTTTACATAACTTACAGGGCAGGTCTGATGGTGTCTGCCCTTTGAATCTAAATGAGAGCTTTGCTGGGTGCACTTCAGCAATGTAAAAGTCTCAACGCTTGTCCTGGATTGTAAGATGTCTGCTGTGAAGCCTGCAGTCATGTAAGTTGGAACACACTTGTGTGTGTGTTTTCCCTCTTGAAGCTTTGAGACTACTCTTGTTGACCTTTAACCTTGGAGAGCTTTATCACAAATCTTATTGTAGACTTGGTTGAAATGAAACTGGTGACCTCAAACCTTTCTACATCTGAATAGTTGTGTCTTTAGGTTTAGGAACTTTTCTGTTGTGTCTTTGAATATGTGCTCTGGCCCTTTAGCCTTTTCAAGTCCCTCTTGAATTCTAATAACTCATTTGTTCTCTTAAAGTTCCCAAAGGCTATCTTCATTCTTCCTTCCATTCTTCTTTTCTCCTGTTCCTGTGCATTTTCAAATAGCCTGTCTTTGAGCTCACAAATTCTTTTTTTTTTTTTTCCCTGAAGTTTTATTTACTTATTTGAAAATGGGAGTTAGAAAGAGAGACAGTGAGATCTTCCATCCACTGGTCCACTCCCCAGATGGCTACAGTGGCCAGGGCTGGGCCAGGCATAGCCAGGAGCCTCACCCTGGTTTCCTACTGGGGTGGCACGGGCCCAGACATTTGAGTCATCTTCTGTTGCTTTTCCATTATCAGGAGCTGGATTGGAATTAGAGTAGCCAGGACACAAACCAGTGCCCATGTGGGATGCTGGCATTGCAAGTGGTAGCTTTACCCTTTAAGTCACAACACCAGCCCCATGAATTCTTAGGTTTGATCTCTTCTGCTATTGAGGCTTTCTGTTGTGTTTATAATTTTACTTAATTTACTTTCCAGCTCAAGAATTTAAGTTTTTTAAAAAAATTTCATCTCTGTTAAATTGCTGTTAGCATAATACATTGTTCTTTGTGTTTTCCTGAATTTTCTTAAAATTGCTAATTTTTTAAAAACATTCTTTTTAAAGATTTATTTATTTGAAAGGCAGAGTTAGAAAAAGAAGCCTTCCATCTGCTGGTTGACTCCCTAAATGGCATAATGGCCAGGGAGCTAAGCTGAACCAAAGCCAGGAGCCTGGAGCTTCTGGGTCTCCCATGTGAGTGCAGGGGCCCAAGCACTTGAGCCATCCTCTGCTTTCCCAGGCCATGGCAGAGAGCTGGGTCAGAAGTGGAGCGGCCTGGACTCAAACCAGCGCCCATATGGTGTGCCGGCACTGCGGGCAGAGACTAGACTATCTGCTACGCCACAGCGCCACCCCAATATTGCTAATTTAAATTCTGCGTGTATCAGTTGCTATCTGATCAGTTGTGTTGTTTTGTTTATTAGTTGAGGTTTTGATTCCCTAAAAGTTTTTCTTTAAGTGTGGTAATTACAGTAGCATTTTTTTTTTCTTTGAAAGGCAAAAAGAGAGGTAGAGAGGTCTTGAATCCACCAGTTCACTTCCCCAAATGGCTGCAGCAGCCGAAGCTGAGCCGATCCCAAGCCAGGAGTCAGGAGTTTCTTCCAGGTCTCCCGCATGGGTGCAGGGACCCAAGCACTTGGGCCATCTGCTGCTGCTTTCCTGCTGTACCAGCAGGGAGCAGCCAGGACTCTAACCGGCCCCCGTATGGTTTGCCAGTGCTGTAGGCAATATTTTTACCCACTATGCCACAGTGCTGGCCCCTCTTGAAAAGTTCTTGATGTTTGTTGATATATGATACCATCTGTGCATTGAAGGATTAGGAATTTTTTTCTAGTTATAGTATGTCCTTACTTGTGCCTGTCTTCTAACACTAGGTGGCACCGTAAGTTGTGGCCTGCCACAAGTCTGCTATTCCTGCGTTGCTGTTTGAGTGCTAGGAAGGACTGCGGATCCGTGTGTGTGTGCTGGCCTGGCGCTAGAAGCCTTTGAGCTTTATCCGAAGCTGAGTCTCGCTGGGACAGACCCAGCACTGAGCTCTAAGGCAGAGTCCTGTACTGTCTGTCCATCCTGCTCACAGATGGAGTCTCCGTTGTCTACTGGAATTGCGGGAAGGGTGGTGGAGGTGATCCTTGACAGGCCTGGTGCCAGGCTTCAGTCTGAGGTCTGTACTCAGGTCCTCCCCCAGCAGGAGGTGTGGGGAAAGCTGCTTGGAGCTGGGGAGCTCCTTCCTGTCTGTCTTCCTCAGTGTGTCTCCTTGTCATTGTACTAAAACCAGGCTCTGTGGTTCTCGCCTAGATTCCTTGGCTCTTGCGAAGGTGGCATGGTGTGTGACTAGCTGTCCAAATTGGTGTCTCTGTGGGGAGGTGATTGCTGGCACATCTTTACCTGTCCACCATCTTGCTTTACCTCCCCTCTCTTTCAAATAAATTAAAATAATTAAACATTGAAAAAAATGGCTAGTTTTACAAAACGTGATGGTGAAGAAAAGTAATTAATAAATGCCAATGGGATGGTACAGTATCCATAAAGGAAACAATGAAAGTGGACCTCTATACTATATCATATATAAAAATTAACTCCAGTGAATTTTAGAACAAATGTACAAAGCAAAGCAAGCTTTTAGGATCAGGAGTTTGACACGGCTGGCGCTGTGGCGTAGCAGGCAAAGGTGCCGCCTACAGTGCTGGCACCCCGTATGAGTGCCAGTTCAAGCCCTGGCTGCTTCACTTCCCATCCAGCTCTCTGTTATGGCCTGGGAAGGCAGTAGAAGACGGCCCAAATCTTTGGGCCCCTGCACCTGTGTCGGAGACCTGGAAGAGGCTGCTGGCTTTGGACTGGCACAGCTCAAAAAAAGTTTGGCACAGTGGTTAAGCTGCTGCTTGGGATGCCCATGTTCCATACTCGAGTGCCTGGGTTCCAGGTGCAGCTTCGTTGTTTATTCCAGCTTCAGCTAATCACCCTGGGAGCCAGCAGTGTTGGCTCAAATAGTTGGGGCCCTGCCACCCTTGTGGCAGACTGAGTTCCTGGCTCCTATCTCTGGCCTGGCTCAGTCCTCGCTTTTGCTGGCACTGAACCAATGCATGGGAGATCTCTGTCTCTCCCTCTGCCTTTCATATAAAAATAACTCTTTGAAAGATTATCAGCATAGATTTACTTGTTTCCTTTGGGATTTTTGTTTATTTATTAGTACGGGTGGGGGAGTGTGCTCCCATCTGCTGGCTCCCTCTCCAAATGGCCAGGGAACTGGATCGTGTGAAAGCCTGGAGCCTAAACTCTCCCATGTGGCTGGCAGGGATCCATGTACTTGAGCTGCCCATTCCTTGCTGCCTTTGGGGTGCTCATTAGCAGGAAGCTGGAATGGATATGGAAGGCGGGCATCCCAAGTGGTGCCCTATTTGCTGCACCACCTGCCCATCCATTAGTTTTTTTGTTTAAGATTATTAAAGAGAAGGTCTCCCACCTGCTCATTCACTCCCCAGATGGCCCCCTCATTCACTCCCCAGGTGGCCGCATTGGGAGCTTCTGGGTCTCACACAGGTGCAGAGGACCAAGCACTTGGCTTATCTTCTACCTCTTTCCCAGGCCATAGCAAAGAGTTGCGTTAAATTGGAACAGCTGGGTCTTGAACCAGTGTCCATATGGGATGCCAGCGCCAGCCCCATCCATTAGTTTTACAGTTTTGTAGAAAATGGGATATTTTTGTCCTAGACTTTGGAAAGAATTTCTTAACACAAAAATCCCATATAAACTTTGATACGTGCGGAATATTTTTTCCCCCATTAAAAGGCACCACTGAAGTGCGTATTTAGCCCAGTGGTTAAGATGCCATCCAAACTGCCTGTGTCCCAGGTCAGAGTACTTGACGTTGATACCCATTTCTTGCTCCAGCTTCCTGCTAATGCGGGCCCTGGGAGGCAGTGCTGGTGGCTCCCATAATTGGATTCCTGCCACCCGTGTGGAAGACCTGGATTCAGTTCCTGGCCCTGGTTCAGCATAGTCCCAGCCATAGTGTGCACTTGGGGAGTGAACAAGCATTGGGAGTTGTCTCTATGTTTCTTTCAAATAAGTTAGAAAAAGATCCCGACAAAGTGAGAAGATGGAGGAACATATGCATTACACATAAAATATCAACGGATTTATATCCAGAGTAAAGCACTCCTATAGAAACACTCAGAGAGGGGGCACCTACCAATAGCAAAAAGATAACCTGATTTTAAGGTAGGCACGGAAGCTAGCAACTGACCTTAAGTAAGCAAGATCCAGAAAGGGTCCAGATCAGGTCAAAACCACGACGAACCACTTGAGGTGGCCAAAGACTAGACCTCAGACGCTAAGTGCTGGCATAGATGCGGAGAGCTGAGAACTCACACTACTGAGAACAGAAAACAGTGCGGCAGCCCCTCCAGTGTTCTCAACTCCCCTAGCTCTGTCCAAGACGAATACAAATGCGTGTCCACACAGGACGGTACAACCCACATGCCCAGCGGTGGGTGCAGGCGTGACCCTGTCCTGTGGAAGGGCGGAGCACTAACGCACAGCAGGACGTAGGGAACCGGTGACCGGTACTGCCAACGAAGCCGGTGACAGCGACTGCACACTGTGATTGTCGCTGCCTGGTCGTGGGGAGCTGTGTAGAGATAAAAATAAAGAGGAAAGTCCAGATCAGTGCAACAGCGACAAGGAGCGGCCGAAGCGCTCCCAGGAGGGGCCTGCGGGGAAGAGGTCCCAGGGCTGGGGCTCCAGTAAGTTTTTCTCCGCCCTTGCCTGACGGACTGGCCCCTCACCTAGGGTCGTGTTTGGATTGGCCCCTGTGTCAGTAATTGGGTCCCCCGCCCGCCTCTGTCCACGGGCGCGGGGAGGGGTCGGTGCTTGGATCCCGCCCACCTCTGTGTACGTGTGGAAGGGTCGTAGTTGGCGAACGTTTGCCCGCACCTACCCTGGGTGCCACGTCGCCCCTCCTGCTCTCTACGGGTAGTGCAGATTGTGTTTTCTGACATTGTGTTTTTCCCAGGGCGGGGGCGTGGAGTTTTCCCGGAACTTGTCCAGGGCACTCTCAGTCTCTCCGTTAGTGCACGAGTCCAGAATAGGGGAAGTTCTAGAGACAGGAAGTAGGTTGGCAGTTGTTTCGGGCTGGAAGGATGGAGTGAGCTAGAGGGTACAATGTTTCTGAGTTCTAAAACGTGATGAATTGGTCAAAACCATTGAATTATAAAAGGGACGAATCCTGTGGTATATGAATTATATCTCAATAAAGCTGTTTTTTGGAAAAACTCAGACTTCGCCCAAAAGGAAAATTGAGCGGGCCGTAAGCATGAAGAGGTTTAAAATCACCAGACAGAAAAACGAAGACAAAAACCACAGCAGGCTACCCCCACCCGGCTCCTCACTGCTGCCTGATTGACATGGGGTTCGGGTGTGGCGGGCACGGGCTGTCACTGCTGGTGGCTCTGAGATTTTACCTAGCAAGGCTGGAGAGAACGCAGCAGCTCTGCTCTGCGTGTTCCAGCGGTGGCGGTGCACGTGGCTGTGTGATGCCTGGACCAGAATGTTCCTGGTAGCCTCCAGCTGGAAACCTCGCCATGAAAATGAGCAGCAGCTACACAAGCGAACAGACGGACTGGGCTGATGACGTAAGTCAGGAGAGTGGCGTTCTTTGTCTAGGGGCTTGGGGTGCTTTGGGGAGGGGCAAATTAGGACTTCTGGGGGCGGAGGGGGTGGTTAGAGCATTCTGGCTTTAGACCTGAGTGGTGCATTTGCAGGTGCTTGCTTTGCCGTTATGACGGTTGGATTATGCAGCTCTGTTTCATACACTTAAGTTTTGTATGAGGACCGATTGAAACTTAAAAACAGGCATCCTTTAAAATAGTCAATTTACCGTGCTCCTTTTCCTTATCATCATTGGAAATTTAGAGTGACTTGCATCAGTTTTTCTTTTCTGGATATTGAAAGCTTGGGAAGAAGGCAAACTTAAAGAAATGCTTCAGTGTGGAAATCTCTTCTGGTTTAGAGAGTCGTGTAATCATTTATAAGTGAAAAAAATTATGTAATTCAAAAAGCAATTTTTAAATTCCAGCGAAACACTTGATTCCTTGGTTAGTTGTGGAAGAGTGTTTTTAGACTGCTGCACAGAAGCCTGTTGCAAATGGAAACCAGCTCGTGTTCTAGTTGTTAGGGCTACGAGGAACGCAGGAGCCAGGGTTGACTCCGAGAAATCAGGCAGTCTATGGAGCCCTGATAATCAGGCCGCTTTCAGCTCTCTAAAGAGACTTTGTGTTTCATTCTTGGATGGTTTTGAAAATGAACAAAACACGTAATAGATCTGCTTAAGGTGTTTTGGGCTTGGGCTGTACTTAGGACATGAATGTGCCGAAACCACCAGGCCTTGGATGAGACCTTCCTTCCTTTGGCAGTGGTGGGCGTCAGGTGACCTATGAACTAACTTCTGACCTGACAAAGAAGGTGACCTCTTAAAGTGCTCACTGCCATGTGGCTTGTTTTCTCATCCCTGCTCAAACTTGGACTTGGAAGGATCGGAATAAACCTGTAGATATTATCCGAGACTTAGGACCCAACCACACTGTTTCAGTGAAATCTGTTGGCCATACAACCATGTTTCTGAGAACATGACTTTTTGCATTTAAAAACAGATGTTTTATAGGGGTGTGTGTGTGTGTGTATGTGTGTGTGTGTGATTAACTGGATTGTTTCCCCCTCAAAATACTGTAGTAAAAGTTGTCATGGACCAGGGGGCAAATGTGTTAGGGTGGGTGTGTTTCAGAGTCTCAGGCTCCGGTGAGCTTGCTCGCCAGGTGACGAGGGTAGATATATTTAAGGAGTAACTTTCTCCCCTTAAAATCTCAGTGTTCCATATACTAAGCACATCCTGTTAGACTTCTTGAGTATTAAATACATCTTCTATCCTTGGTCTTTCTGCATTTAGCTTTTTTGGGAAGTGTGTTTTTACCCTCAGCATATGGTATGAGCTGCTGATTCAGTATTGAATAGCTCTTTAAGCTTGTTAGTTACATTCTGTTGATTAAAATGGAGTGCAGAATAGTCAGGGAAAAAACCAGTCCTCATCTGAAATCAATTAAACAATGCTAACTGGCTTATGGGGAAGGAGGGATGAGTAAAGACAATGTTCGCGTACAAAGGCACTCTCACTGCCTCCCCAGGTTTTTGGAGGTTGGGGTAAGGCTGGGGAACGTGATGAAACTGCCCAGAACGACACACCTCGTGTTAGACTAAAGCTGGAAGGGCAGCTCAACTGCCTGATGTCGTCCCCTCTCCTCCCACTTTCCTTGATAGGTGGCGCTACTGCTTTGTCTCCCTGCTCTGTGTCTGAACGTCCCGTGCTCACGGGCTGCCCGGGATCTTGCCCCGTGTGTCGTGACCCTGGTAGGTCCTGGTTGCTGGCCATAATCAGCGCTTCCTGCCCTCTCTGCCGAGGGAGAGAAAGCACCTGCCGTGTGTCACCGCAGCAGTTTTTCTGCAGCCTCTTGGAAGAGCCGTGTTTCCTGGTCTCAGAAGACCAGGATATGGTCAAATGCAGGGCATGTTGGCGGCTTTCCTCTTTGTTGTGTGGTTTGTCCACATGGAAGTGCCCACACACATTTCACATCCGCACACATGGAAAATTCAATAGTGGCGTGGACCAGGGCGCTGGTGGGAGGGGAGTGGTCTTGACGGGGCTGCCTTCATCCTTTTCTACATTAAGCCAGTGGAAGACCACCCTGTCCTGTCGCTGCCTTTGGTTCACCTCTAAGAGGTAAAGAGGTATTCGAAACTCCCTTAAATCATTACGTTTAGAAAGAGGAAAAACATGCCAGTGGACAGTTCCCCGTTGCAACTGGAGAGTAACTGCTGTGTGTCCTTGGTGTTGGGCGTCTACCTGGCCATCGCAGCCACAGCCATCACCTCGGTTATCCATCACACTGTTACTGTTTTGATTTCCTGGAACTTTAACACTTACTTGTATCAGCAGTTAGATCAGTCTTACGAATGACATTGGATGGAAATAGCTTAAAGCCAGGTTAAGTATAAGTAGAGCTAATTGAGACCATGTGGCCATTTTCAGTTCAATGAAATTTCTTTTTTTATTTTTAAGATTTATTTATTTTACTTTTTTCCTTGAAAGAGTTACAGAGAGAGAAGGCGAGGCAGAGAGAGAGGTCTTCCATCTGCTGGTTCACTCCCCAGATGGCCACAATGGCTGGAACTGTGCCAGTCTGAAGCCAGGAGCTTCTTCCGGGTCTCCCACCTGGGTGCAGGGGCCCAAGGACTTGGGCCATCTTCTACTGTAATCCCAGGCCATAGCAGAGAGCTGGATCAGAAGTGGAGCAGCCGGGACTCGAACAGACACCCATATGGGATGCCGGCACTGCAGGCAGCGGCTTTACCTGCTATGCCACTCTGCCTGCCCTTCAATGCAATTTCAGTATGCATTGCCCATCCAGTTGTGTGTATTTTACCAATACTTATTTTCACACAATAGTTAGGACTTCACATTATTACAACTTGTGTGATGTTTTATTGCTAAACATTGTCTGACTCTGGCACATCAATGATGAAATGACTGCACCTTGAGTCCTTAATATTGGGAACATCAATGACAGTGCCATTAAAAGAAGTACACATTCCAGAAACATCTTTGAAGACTTTTTGTGTCACACTGTGAATTCACAATTTTTTAAATTATTTTTTATTTGAAAAGTAAAGTTATAGAGAGGCAGGGAGAGAGAGGTCTTCCGTCCACTGGTTCTCTCCCCAAATGACCACAATGGCTGGAGCTGGACCAATCCGAAGCCAGGAGTCAGGAGCCTCCTCCAGGTCTCCCATGTGGGTAACAGGGGCCCAACGACTTGGGCCACCCTCCACTGCTTTCCCAGGCCACAGCAGGGAGCTGGATCAAAAGCAGAGCAGCCAAGACTGGAATCAGCGCCCATATGGGATGCTAGCACTGCAGGCAGAGGCTTTGCCCACTAAGCCACAGTACCAGCCCCAGAACTCATGATTTGGCAGCACCTGTGAGTTTATCGGAACAGTGTCAAGTACTGTGGGGGTGGGGGATCCCCCTTAATGGAAAGATGCCTACATCTACAGTTTATAGGTGAAGAAACCTAGGTTCAGGGGTTCGCTGGCCCAGGGCACACAGCCAGCAAGTGGCAAAGCTGGGGTTTGAACACCAGAATGCATGCTGTTATTTTTCCTCTCTATTTCAAAGCTTAAAATATAGTTAGGAATCTGAGAGGTACACGTGTGATAAATTTAAGTCTTCTAAATATTGTGTCAAAAGGAGCGGTGTAGGCATTGCCACAGGAAGTGAGAAAATAGACACAGGTGTGGTAGGGAGGGAGGTAGTCTTCCTGACTGTGGGCAGGTGCGCCTCGCCTGGTTCCCACAGGTGCAGCCGGAGGCGTGCCGCCAGCCCCTGCGGCCTGCGGGCTTGTTCACGCAAAGCCAAGTGAGCAGCTCCAGACGTTTCCCAGTCACCAGATGCCAACATCTAACACACCATTGCACTGCACCAGGGTGCACTGCTTGTGTTTAAGTGAGAAGAAGGGACTAGCGTGGAAAATGGGGGTGTTGGAATGAAATATCAGCAGAGCGTGGAGCAAGGCCCTGAGACTGAGGTCCCCAAGTCTTCTAAATGTGAGTGGAGAATGCCTGAGCCAGGCCATCGGCACTAAGCCTGGGGGTTCTCTTCATCCCCCTGCGCCGAATCTGTGCTTGTTGAGTTCAGAAGACGAAGTCACACAGCCGGCACACGCGGCTGAGGCAGGTGGCTGGACATGGGTTCTCACTTTGGCTTCGCCCCTTGGCTGTGTCACTTTAAGCTGGGTACCCCCCCCTTGGTTCTTCCCTGATACTGTGATTTATGGGGGCGGGTCCTGAGAGACCTCAAAGGCATACCTTCAGGGCCAGGTGGAGACGGATACACGGAACAGAAGGGTTAAAGCAGGTGCCCCAACCACCGAGCTTTCGAGAATGTCGGATCGCTGCTGGCCATGCGAGTGTGTCTTTTGGTCTGGCTCTGGCCAAAGGCTCACAAGTCTGTAATCCTGGGGTGCTGTCTAACATGAGGGAACTCGGAAAACAGAATTAAAAGGAAGTTCGTTTTGGTGCCAAAAAATGTTGGAATCTGCATACAAGGGGTCTTCAAAGAGTTTGTACAGGAGCGGGCATTTAGCCCAGCGGCTCCGAAGCCCGCGTCCCACCTTGAAGCACCTGGGTGTGATTCCGACCCGGGCTCCCGAGTCCAGCTCCGTGTAGGTCCTGGGAGGCAGCGCCGATGGCTGCAGCCCCAGCCCAGCCCCGGCTGTCGTGGTACCTGAGGAGTGAACTTTCTGAGGGGCCTGCAGTTTCCCTACATGCGAGGAGCCTGTCAGGGTGGGTGTTTGGCCTGGCAGTTAAGATACC